AACCTCAATCCTCAATCCTGGTCGAAAAACGCAACTCAAAGTTAAAGTTGGTCAATTAAGAGTGCCATGTACTGTCGGACATCAGCACTTGACCAGTGTCCAAAGCTCCGGACACGCTTACACTCCGCTTAATTGAGTTTATTAGCCTCTTAGCAGTCGTCTGAGAAACGAGCAAAAGTTAAAATATTTTTATATATATATATAAATTTTGTGCGGACGACGACCGACTAACTTGCCGCTGAAATAACGGTAACATCAAAATATTTCCTTTACAACTTGTCCAATTCTCCTGTCATGCTCGGCCTCCTTCAACCTCCCCCAAACTTCCCCCCAATCGCCCTTCACCAGTTGGCCAAATTAATGACACTCACTCACCGGGCTACATAAATGTGAAATGATAAAAAAAAAAATAAAACGAAAAACGAAAGAAAATGCAATTTCTGAAATAATTAAATATGAAGGCCAGCATTTCTTTTGGGCCGCATCTCGAGGAAGGTTCTCACATGCCACGGAAATTTCAAATAACTCTCTTGTTCGTTAAATTTTTGGGTCAACATTTTATTCGCAATTAGCTGAGCAGAACATATAAAATATGTAAATTACTGGCAGGTTTGTGGGTTTTTGGCTCCTCAATTTTCGGGGGTTGAAAATTATTAGGCTGGGAGTGGGAAATTAATGGTGGGAATAAATGGAAATATGTGGAAAATGCCCGTAAGATGGGATATTTAAGATCTAATTTCGATATATTTTTTTTATTTATTTGTTTTTTGTTATTAATTAGATATTTAAATGATTGTGTTTTTACTTCATTGATTAGCAGCATCATCTACAAAGCAATCTCTCCTCCTAGCCACAAAAAATATTGCCAAATTTCCCAACAAAAAGTACAAAGCTAGGTCAATAACCAAGACAGTGGGAAAACTTCAAGTGAAAAATGTCAAGTTGGCAAACCATTTGGAGCGACAAATTAATGAGTTCACTTTTGGGCCAAAGAATGCTGCAAATAAAAAATAGACAAGACACTTGCCACTTGAACCCGTGCTCTCATTAAGCCCGCAAACCGACACACAGCTGCTTCTGAGATGAAAGCCGCCTTTTGAGTGGCTATTGGCCAAGTCTAAAAACTGAACCCGATGGGGAGACGAAAAAAACTCTCACTAGGCACTTAAAAATTAACGCTTTTGACAGCCAAACGGACTTTCAAATACAGATATAACCAAGTAGAAAAAAAAGAGCAAAGAGCCGAAATGCCGGACCAACTTCCCGCTCGAAACTCTGGGACTGTAACTCTGGGACGAAGCCAAAAGCGCAACAAAGTGTCAATGCGGCTTTGAGGCGAGTTTAACAAGATTGGCAGCGACGGCAGCGGAGATGGCCAGCAAAGACTTAAGATTTTCTCATAAGGTGCAAAATCTCTCGACATCATAAAACCAAAAAAAAAAAACAGAAGAAAAAAACTAAAACCGACGTCGACAACAGAAACATGCACAGAGATGAGCATCCATAAAAAGAAACATTTTCGAGTTGGTTTTCGGTGTTACATATATTTTCCCCGAAGCTCCTAATTAGCCAAAGCCGGTTCTTTTCGGAGGTTTAATTTCTTTTCTTTTTTTTTTTTGTGTCTGTTTTATTTTTCGGCTGCTGTGGTTGCCGTTTAATATTTTATTATTCTTGGGCCCAGCTTCCCCCCTCTTGGAATAAACGAAAAACAATGGAGCCGTAAAAATCTGGGGATAATAAATAAATTAACTCCTTAACGATGACAAGAAGCCAAAAGCTAAAAGAGGCCCTCCAGCCACAACGTCTCAATTAAGTTGTTTAAGCTCATTGTTTTCAAATTTTTAGCTTAATTTTCGTATGGTTATGGTGGCTTTGTTTTTAAGTTTTTATTTTGCTTATCTCATCTAAGCTGAAATTGCGGAAATTTGTAAGCGGCCGTGGTAATTTCAATTTGGGAAAATGATTTCATAAATGCCCAAAATCAGGTTACTAACCCTGAACTAAGAAGAATACCAAAAACTCTTGCCCTTGCCTCTAGCATTGTAATCACGTCTTAATTAACTAATTAGCTAATTTGCAAACAATTAACCTAAAGTTGGAAAAGAAAACCGAAATCCTCAGAAATCTTTCTGTAAAGTTGCCAAGTCATTTGATTGCAGATTGCAGATCAGAGATTGGACAGCAGCTGCCGGAGCTAAAATGGACAGTGAAATTACTAGGAAAGTGAGGTGAGCAAACAGAAAATATTCCATTTAAATGCATAACACAAATATTTGTACATCGAAAGAAAGAGTGAATGTGAGATGTTGGTACAAGAAAATGGAAATTAGTGTCTGAAAATAAAAAGGAAATTTCACAAATTGTGGGATAAGATGTATACTTTCCATTATGATTAGAAAGATGTTGTTGGTTTTACAGAAATGATTAGGAAACCTTTTGGGACCTTAAAAGTATTATTTTTAGAACTCAACTCCTCCTGTTTATATCCCCATAAAAACCCATGTCTTGGCCATTTTAGCTCCCATCAAGTTTTAATCGCCGCAACCAATGCTTGTTCATCGATAGTTCCAGCTTCACCTGCTTTTTATTTGGCCACTGAAAACCTATTCATCAACTTTGGATATTGTTGCAGAATTTAGTTCCCACGTTTCGCAAAAAAAACAGACATACACACACCGAAGAGAAGAAGAAAATCTAAAACAGTTTTATAACTGTACCAAACAAGAGGCCTTCACTTTGGCCTGAGAACATTTCGAGCTGTCCACCTGCAACGCGGAGAGACACATCGTACAAAAACCATAGTGGAAAGAAGATCTCTGTGGTATTCACCCCCGAAAAAATTGGTTATGAAGGTCGAGCGAAGAGATCTACGCATGGAAGTACGAGTACCTGCCGCACGAAAAGCATTTCCAAACAATTGAGTTTTCGGAATGACAGTTTTCCTCGATGGGAGTTGAAAACTGGAACAATGCACCTGAAGCCGGAGCTGGTTTCTATTGTCGGAGTAGCGGAGAAAATAATGCTTTTTAATAATTACCAAAAAGAAAAAACTCTGAAGAGAAGCAGCTGCAAAAAAAAAACAACAGAACTGAAAAAAATATTAAATTTTGGCGCCCCAAAACTAAAAACAAGTTTGTTGCCTGAGTCTTTCGTTTATTTTTTGGGTACACCTTTTTGGCTAAAGGAAGCTCGTTTTTTGGAGTCTCGATTTAACGCTTCGCAACTGACAAATGAGCAGCATATCCTGTTGATCCTGTTGCCAGGAAATAATTATAATGCTCAAAGCAAAAAGAAACATTAATTGCAAAAATAATTAAAAACTCATAAATTAGCACATGCATCAGCGGTTGCAGTAACAAAGTGCAAATTTAATTATGGACTTCATTAATTAATTCATTAAGGAAGAGGAGGCAAGAGGCTAGCGGCAAGAAGCGAAGTGTTTTTGCCACTAACTAAATCAATCAACGCCAAATACAGGCAATCGAGAGAATCCCTAAGGACGTTATTCGATGGAGTTGCAACCGGTTTGTGGTCACTCCTTTTTGGCGTCCTTAGAATACATTATGCAACTGCCACTGGCACAGCCACCGGGAGGTGAAGTCCTCAGTACGCCCTTCGGCTTTCATAATTTATTGATTTTATATGGCGTCACATTTGCCCCGGCACCGCCGCCATTCGCTGACAGTTTTTGCCACTGTCGGACATTTTGACAGTTGCAGGTTGTCATCGGGCAGATCCCGGTTCCCCCTCCCTTGATGCATCCTCCTGTCACTTGTAATTGCAACTGACGCATTGCCAAAAAAAAAACTACGCATTCGTATTCTCATCTCAACTCATCTGCCCCGCCCCGTCGTCATAAACTCAACTGTCATTTCAATTTTCCCCCATCACGGGTGCAAGGTGCTCTGCATATATGCAGCGGCCAGTCAAATGTATGATTAAGTAATATCCGAATGCCGTAATTTTACCCTTCTTTCGGATCGCAAAGAAGGTTTGTGGCTTAAGTCTTTTGTTGCCGAGTGAGTTTTTCCCCTGGCAAATAATTACTGCGAACATTGCGTAATGAAGATGATAAAAGTGAGGAATACGAGTTTCCGGCTGATAAGGCGTCCAAAATATATACTTGAGCTGTAAAAGGGGGGATATCTGAAAGATCTCAATGGGAAGCTTTTTTGAATGGAGCTATAACCGTTTAAGGATTTTTGCATTTAACCCATAAACCCTTCGCACTTAAAAAAAAAAACTAATTTTTTATACAATTTCGTCACGAAATGGTTAATCATTATGCAAATTATTTTAATACAAATATACACTAAAGGATTACCATTACCATAACTTAAGCACTTATTATATGCAACCAGGTCAATTATCTTGCTTATCTGATGACTAGTTAGCTGGAGGCCTGAACTAAATAAATTCAAGTTTCACATGGAAGGACATCGAATAATATTTAAAAGCAACAGGGCTTTTTTTATTAAAGCATAAACTATGAACTTTTATTACATAATACTTATATTTTAGATGCGAGGTGTGAATATCATTATCCCATACTGTTTTAGTTTTATTGCTTAAATTAAAATAACACTTCCAGCTGCCCGGGCATCTGCCACTAACCCTTTTCGAGAGCCCAAACTGTTGATGAATAGATAATAAATTATAACAAATTTTAATTAATACCTATTAAACCTGTTCTTAAGAGACCTTTCTCTGATCGGAAAAGGAAAGGCAGCTGCTAAAGAAGTGCTAATGCCAACTACCATCAGTGAACATTATCGAGTGGCTGGAAAATGAAATTTAAGAAAACAATTAAAATGCAATTTCGTGCAAATCCTTTTTGGCAGAGGGAAGCCAAATGCAGCTGCAAAAAAGTTTTCAACCTGTTGCAGATGTCTATCTCTCTGGTCGCTGGCCGCTCATTAAGTTTATTAATTTCTGATATCAAGACAGCACAATTTTCGTTTGCTTTGCATTTGTGTCGCCTGCCACATGCAACAGAAAGCGGTAAGCATGAACCGTGACCAGTTTTTCCCAAAATTTTATATCCAAAAAAGATATACTCGTATATATTTATAAAAGGGAAAAAGAAACAGAGTTACCCCAAATAAAACCCATAAAGAACTTCTTCAACCCTTGCCGATGAACTACGAGCGTTAAATTTTCAACTTGCCGTGCCTCATGTTATTCCTCCACTGGCCATTCGATCTCTACGCTTTCTACACTCACATCTTCCATCGGCTTGTTGTGTTTGTGAACAGGTGTAATGATTTTTGGTTTTGCACCTTGACTTTCTGCTTCCGTTTCAGTTCGAGCGACGCTTGTCGATAACTTTTTGGCCTGTCCTGGGGTAATTTCTGTCCGCATTTACTTCCGTACAGGGTGTCTAGTCAGGTTTTTCGCAACTTCCCCGGCTGCATCAGTTGGGAAACGTTGACATTAGGTTGCTCTGATAAAGTAATCGTTTTGGCTTAATATTTTATTTTATATTTAATAAATTACCTGATTCTTTGCGTCTCTTAAGTTCTTCAGATTCAGCCTGCACGCAGTGAGCCAAGTAAAAATGCAGCACTGGCACTACTATCAGCAATTTGGGAAATGTTTGCCAATTAAGTCTCATTTTTAAGTGAACAAAAAATTTTGCTTTTCAAAGGCTTTTTATGAAATTTTGTTTACTACTTTAACAAAAGATTTAAGCCTACTTTTGTTGTTTTTAAAAAGGACACCCTGTAGGCCTTCCTCTCTTTGCTTAATTGTTAACTTTTGGCTAAGGACTTTATTAGCCCATGACTCGCAACGGGAATGCATTTAGTCATACTGAGAGAAATAATTGTGAAAAATTGTAAGTACCGTAAATAAAATTTATTAGCTAAATAAAATGAAAACGATTTATTAACCATTTCGTATCATTTGTTAATATTATTCCAATAGAAATGTTTATAAGCCTTTGAGTGTTCTCAAAATGAATAATATACACTTAGAAACTAATGGAATATGAATAAATAATATGAACGCATAATGAATATATAGTGTCTTGATAGATCCTCAATCTGTGTCATTTTCTTAAGACTTTTAAATACTTAACTCAACATTTTTGTTGTACCTTTTCTTATACCTTTTTATATGCAATCATTTCTATAAATATTTATTATTATAATCTAAACATAAACCTTTATTTCATATATTTCTTACATTTACATCACGTTTCTTTCAGTGTTAACCCCCCACCAAAGATAGGATATTTTGTAATATAACCGCAAGGCAACTTCCTCAATATCAATCATTACGCTCGGCTATATTACCAACCCCTTGACCATTTCCCTTCCAGGACTTTCTTCATAAAGCATATTTAGTGTGTAATATGCGATGTCCCCATGAAACAAAGTTTCCGTTTTATATATATATATATATATATATATATATATATATATATATAAGGCAGTATTTATTTTCGGGTAAGCTGCAATTTTCAGGTGTTAGCCAAGAGAGCTTCCAGCCAGCCAACTGGCCAACGAAGCGAACTGAATTGAGCTCAACCCTTTCATTAAAGAGGGAACAAAAATGATATATTTAATCCGTTCGCTCGTTGGGCCAGTGCCAGTGAAGCGTATGGTTGTCTTAAAGCCACGACGACAATGACAGCGAATGATAAACCTGATATGGAACACACTTAAGGGCTCAACTTGGGTAATCTGCAGTTTGCTCAAGTAGAAACAGCAGCTATACCAGCGCCGCTCTGAAGAACCACGCAACCAAAATTTAAAAAAAAAAAGCAAACTCCAGGTCCGGCAAGTCTGAGGGGTATATAGTGTATCGCCGGAGATCGCAGATCGTTTCCAGTTGTGCAGGTGGATTTCTCAAGTGGCTGCGTCCGCTTTCTGCCTGTCTCTCTCTTAGTGATTCCCTATCTCGCTCCATCTCTCTGTGTCAGCTGATTCTTGGAGAAACTCAAAACTTCTCGAAGGGTAATAGATACATCTGTACTCGTCTCTGTACTTGGCTTAAGGAGAAAAAGTGCATTTTGGATAGAAGGGTTGGGTAAGGGGATTTTAAGATGCTATTTTAAGATAGATCTTACTTACTAACATTCGAAATTTCTTCCTGTTAATGAGGTAATGGTAATTAAACTTTTATTCCCTTGAACACCAAACTGAAACTAATTTCCTTATATGTGATTGACAGATTTATCCTCCCCAATCCTATATACGTTTCTATTTCCAATGTGATAACCATAAAAATGTCGCCTAAAAATCCCCAAAAAAAGTAGTAAATGTCATTTCAAGTCCAAGGATCCAAAGGCCTGCCGGCAGTTGTCACTGGCATTATGCATGCTTGCTTAAGATTTTCCCCGGAGATCCTTGAGGAGTTTCCTTAAAGGCGACAGAGAGAGAGAGCGACAGCAGGGGGAATTGCCATTCTGTGTGGTGTCAAAAGTCGCACAGCAATCCATCAATTTAACAGCCATGGAAAATCAACACAATGCCAAGCAATTGTATGAAATATGTCAGTCAAAGGAAGAAGGAAGAAAAAAAATAACTCGAAACAGGACAAAGGACACAGTAGTTGGTCACAGTTTGGGGTGGAAGTAAGTAAATGCGAATGCGAATAAGAAACAGAATGATTTCCTTTTTCCTTTGACTTCTTGGCTTGTTTTCAGGGGAAGATGCCACAAAGGAAATACTTACATTTATGCGGAAATGTGTGTCCTTTGTGGCATGTTTGCGCAATGTTAACACACAGCAGCAGCAGCAGCAAGCAGCTCGGCAAACTTTAAGCTGTGCAAACATTTCACCAAAAACAGCTGGCTTCAGTGTCAACAAACTCTCTCTGACCTCGGGTTTTATGCTCGCCTGTCTATGCCCCAACGCGTGCCATATGCCCGAGCTCCACAAAAAATGTCAACTGCAAGTCTGTATGTAATTAAAAACCGATCGCTGCACGCTGATCATTTATTTATACATGCCCCAAAATCCACTTTCGACCTGCTGTTGTTGCCACTGACCAGATTTTGATTGGCTTCGCGGCCCAAAACCTAAAACAAAGGCCCAGTAAAATAAAACCAAAAACCTTTTTTCGAGGCAGCCAGCCGTCGACCATCAGGCTTCACTTCGCGTCTGCTCCTCATTTTTTCGTACTTGCTTTAAATTTTTTGTAGTTTTTCGTGTGTGGCATCAACGACCAGCGACAACATGCCGCAAACATTCCGCACGATAAATTGCAGCACTAAAACTTAAGTTGTCCCTTAAAAAGTTGTTTTGCCCAGCTCTCTTTGAAATCATATAATTTGGCTTAATGTCGATTAAATATTATAAAGGCCAGGCAGCAGTCCAGTTTAAATGCAGGCTGGTCAGGATTTTGGGGAAAGGTAAGATTTTTAAGTATGATTTCTTGTTGCCGTGTTGCAATGCATTTTGGAAGTTCCTAAAGTCCTAAAAAGGGGATTTTTGTTTTAAGATTTATTTAAAAGAGAGATACAAAAAGTAATGTTTTTAACGGATTAACAAACTGTTTTGTCACTTTCACTTTAAGTCTTTTAAACATTCTTTCTAGTTGGTGGTATATTGAATGAAGTGACTGAACTACTTTGAGTTTAAACAACAAACATTAAACTCTGCAAAGTTTCTGTAAGCATAGCCACCCTTTTCATTTTCCCTAGAAACCATTTGAAATAAAAAGAGGTAACAGCTTGAAATTCCTATTGACCGCAACTGCTGCTCATTAGCCCAACAGACATTTTCTATTTAGCATAAAAATCGCATAAAGAATCCAGACATGAATACAAAAAAGCCATAATCGAAGCAGACAAATTCAATGGAAATGTGCAAATGGTCGTTGTAACTGATTGAACGCTTTTAAATCGCTGGGTGTTGGCCAAATCGCAGAATTTGCTAAAAGGAAAACCTGATTGGAATAGAAAAGCATTGATCTAGAAATCCCTGTAGCAACAGGCGATTTTATCATCAACAGCAGATACTATATAGATCTTTGTCTAGGCAAAAGGATCCATGGTCTGGCTGTGTTGTGATTGCAACCATTTTTGGGAAAACGCAAGAGCAGCTGGCAGGTCAAGAACAAAACAAAAAGTAAATCTTTTCCTGCATGTTAAAAAAAATAGAGAATCCATTTGGGCTAGTGCAGCCTGTTGCACTCAGGATGCTGCAGATTGATCCTCTCTATCCAAGTACCTGCTCCGACCACCAACTGCCAGCCCTCAGAGATTCGTTTCATTTGTTGCACGCTGCCTCTATCTACCTACTGAAAGATATTGAAACGCCGAAAATCCCTATGGCAATCTGTTGCTCTTGCACATGTCTCCGATTCCCGTAGAGCGTAAAAAAATGGTGGCGGACCGAATTCGATGACCCGGCAAGGTGTTCCACTGACCCTCTCGGAACATTTGGAGTGATTTTTGTTTTCGCGGAATGCTCGATGGAGAAAATTTCCAGCACATGCTGTATCAGTTGCTGGGGAAAACTCGATAGGAAATTGCTGTAACTAGAGTAGTTAGTGGGTACAGTGCGGCCTCAAGGTGTCCTGGTAATTTTAATGGGTTTTCCTTAGGAATTTCTAGAAATTTTCTGAACCATAAAATCTACTTTCGATCTTCTCAACATCATGTTGACCAAGTTGAATCTGACTTTTGCCTTAAATTCTGTAAAATCTTAATACATATTCCCCTTTTTACAACTTTTTGATATCTTTATGAATATAATGATATATTTTCTTAATTTTTCTTCAATTTAAACGTTTATCTTGTAAGTCTGGTTGTCGTTGCCGCCCACAAACTGCTAATAAAGTTGTCATTTCTGCACGATTGAGCAGTTAGGCAAACATTTGCGATCAGCTGGGCTGGGGGAACCCCCCATGAGACAGCACGTAGAGTAAAATGGCCAACAATTACCGGCAGCAACCAAGTCAGAGAGTCATTACAGTGGCCAGAGCCAAAGTTGGCCATAACAAGCACAAGTGGCGCTCTATAATCATAGACCCAACATGGAGATGGAGATCGAGATGGAGTTTCTGATGGAGATGGAGATGGAGATGAAGAGATGGAGTTGCCCGGCACTGGCACTCTAAATCAATTAACAGGCACGTCAAAAGTGTTGAAAATTGGAGCAGGCAATGGATAGAGAAAATATAAAGCAAAGCACCGATGAAGGCCCATGGGAAAGTGAGGTGCAACCTGTCTGCCGACTGACATTGAAGGCTAATCAGCATGCAAATAATGTTGCCGCCCCACTGCCACAAGATTAAAGAGCCATGTGGCTGTGATATAGCCACCGTGAAGGAGAACATCGCCCAGGCAGGCGATGATGAAGGCTCTGGTGGCTCTGGCTCTTGCTCTGACTATGGCTCTACGTGATGGAGCTGTAAACCAAACCAGTTACAGTTTCCGAGTTACCGTCTTTGCCCAGTTAAACGTCGAGTCGAGTGAAATGAATTTGTTAACACCTAGCCAAAACGAGGCGGGCGTGCCACGCCATCCACCGATAATTAAGTATGCGTCACGTTGGAAATCTGAAGGAGCCCCACTGGATTATTTGCCCGGCCCATTAGCAAACAGGCGCAATATTTTGGAGTAATTATACCAGGTCCTCCTCCTCCTCGCCCCTCTCGTAAGCGTATGTCTTCATTAAGCCAAGTGTAATAGCCATCATCGTAATTGTAATGTCAATGGCATTGTTATTGTTATGATTGCAGT